AAGTTGGATATTCCTTGGCAAGGCCCCTATAAAGTTGAGCAAGTTCAAGGAGTATCTGTGGTTGTTAACGCCAAAGGCAAGAAGATGACAGATAGTGTGGCTCATGTTCTTAAAGTGGTATCACCTAATGAAGGCGGGTGGCTGAATGTTAAGGGTAAATCTCTTATTTCGGTGAACACCTTGATGTGGTTTGGTGATAATGAAGCTGGCTTGGTGATCGATGGCAGAGGTAATGATCATATCTTACATATGGTCAAGATTAGCCAACGATCTATGGATGAGTATGAAGTCCTTCTACTATATTGGGATGAAATGAAGGGCTCTGTATGTGGTTTCCCTTTATCCAATCCCAATGGCGCGGAGGGTGACAGCAGTCGGTTCAAGCCTTCACTGCGTATGCGGTCCTTTTGTCCACAATTTCGAGACAAGGAGTGGGTAGCACTTAATGTTAAACATAACACAGGGCTATTGACTAGAAGATCGACATTGACGCTGAAGAAGTGGCTTGGTACAACAAGCGCAGATGAGAGAGTCTCAGCACAAAGGAGACAGCGCTCGCCGTCACGGTTTTGTGCATGCGTGCAGATAGGTAAAGCACACGTTCATTGCCCAAATGAAGGTGAAGCTGAGACCTTTTATGCTAGCTCAACTATTTGCGACTTGAATGCTGTAGAGTCCATTGGTTATGAAGCCTTGGATATTGGTAGTATCTCCCCGTTGGTGGTTAGGCCGGATAAAGGAACACCGCCTACGTCACCAAGCAAGTCGAACAACTTCTTCAGTAAGCTCGTGGATCTATCCCAGAGAAGTGATACTCCTATGAGTACTGAAAGTGGAAAAGATGCTCAGACCGGCAACACCCAGGACAAGGTGGGTGATATTCAAAGTCAGATCGATGAGATCAAGTCCAATTTGAGTCGTTTGACTACGATGGTTGAGGAGGTTTTCCAAGACCGTGGCTCTCGTAATTGGGTACGTGAAGACTATCGTGGACGTCCCTATAAGAAGAGCTGGGGTAAAAGCTATGGCTCTGATGACGGTTGGCATAAGAAGGGTGATGATGGTTGCAATAAGCGCCACTCGAGTGGTAGCTCTGGCAGTCGTTGGTAAACTTTGCTGTGTGAGGTTTAAGTACTTTTGTCTGGATAGTTGGTGTCATGAGCCCCACCATGATCAGACTCGTAAGTAGAATTGTTACCTCTATTAATGTTATTGTACTTCCGCCACTGTAATTGAGTAGCTTACTGTTTAAGTACACTCGTAGGTGGGTCTGTACACAATTACATTGCCGTTGCGGGGTGTGTTGTGAGCAAACTGAGCACTTGATTTTAGGGCGTGCGCGGTAGTGTTTGCTCTGTGTGATCGTAGACATTCAAGCTAAGTAAGCTAGAGCTTGTATGTGAAGTGTAGTTAAGTTAAGAGTTTTTATTGGCTTGTGGTCCTTACTGGTTGGACCATCCTTACGTGAAGTACTATCGTTGCAACCCAAGGCTTGGTGGGT